GCTTGTACTAGCCCAGACAGAAGCTGGTTTTATAGTGCTAGCCCACTGAGATACCATGTCGCAGTAAAGCATGAATACCCCACTCAGACACATTATACTGACTCCGAGCCAACCAGTCCTTGTTGTACCCATTAATGCCGAACGCCAGGCAGGGACCAACAAGTACCATATGTTAACGTCTTTTGGTATGAAGCGGTCGGGGATCGAACCCGCGACCTTCCGCTCTCCGGGCGGACGCTCTAACCACTACACCACGGAGGCGGTCTATGGGCTGTAGGGGTTTTGGGAGGTTACCACCCCACTACATCATAAACATATGTTTATGGATCTCTATAAAACAGTGATGACACCAGGTGTCTGCCAAAAAGTAAGCTTATCCTGCCCCATTGGTGGCAACTGTCACAAACTCATGCAAAGGCAAGTCAATTGTTCACAAGAAAATAAATTTTGTTAATAATTACAAGGATCAGGTGGTGAGGCTAGGTTATTTGGTTGACTGTGTGTCGCTGTACCCGATAGCATGGGGTGGGATGTTTCCTACGATATGAATCACTGGGGTGTCTGGTCCTCACTCAGTTATTTACAGGTTATTGTCATATAGCTTGAATATTGCTAAGTGCAGCATTAACAAAAAAACCTCATCTGTGACTTTGCAGATTGTGTGGTCATAATGAGAAGATTCTATTGCTGCTCATGGATTTAATCACGGGTATATCTGGTCCACAATATGTTATTTACAGGTCACTGCCATATACCTTGAATATATATTGAATAAGTGCACCATCGACAAACAAACACAATCTGTGACCTGGCAGATTGTGAGGTCATATTGTACAGATTGTATTGTTGCACATTGTATTAATCACTGGTTTATCTGGTCCACACTCAATTTTTTACAGGCTACTGCCATATACCTTGAATATATATTGAATACGTGCACCATCGACAAACAAACACAATCTGTAACCATGTTTATGCACATCAATCACTGGTTTGGCTGGCCCAGACTCATTGTTTACAGGTTGTCATGAAACAGCTGCAATATCGATGATAGCAGTGTAAGAACCGTTCCCTCCTGACAAAATAAAACATACTGCAGACTGATGCACCAAGCTAGATATGCATGATGCTTATACAGATGAGCAAGTTGTTTTGTTATTTTCTGGTCACATATGTATTTTCAACAACATCACCACACATCATGATGATGTTCAGCTCATCATACTGATTTTCCAGTGTTTTTGGCATCACGCACGTAAACAGGAAGTATGAGATGGGGAAGTGTTTAGAAACCTTTGAAGCATCAGCAGTACCCAGAACTTTTACAAAAAGGGTCCATATATTGGGCTGCATGGTTTCAAGGGTTAAGATGATGATAATTAAGGTGATGGTATTTTATTTTACCAGACAACTGTCAAACTGATGCATTAGTATCTATTCCCATACTAGTCTGTCGTACAGACCCTGAAGCAAATATATCCAAGAAAGCCCACGCAAGTCTAGAAAATTTGGCAAGTCTAAATTTCCTCAGCTTCAGGAAATTCTGAAAATGAAGAAAGTCTCAGGGCTCCTTTTCATTATATTATATATTTTTTACTATGAACTTTTTTCAGTAAAATATGTTCATTTCAGAGACTAGTTGTTAGTCTATCCCCATACATACACAGGATCATAGATTACATTAGACTAACAGCTAGTCTCTGAAATGTACATATTTTACAGAAAAAATTTTTTTAGATTAAAATATAATACAGTGAAAAGGAACCTAGAGACTTTCTGATCAAACTGTGGTAATCTAGACTTGCCACACCTTCTAGACTTGCATGGGCTACATTGGGTATATTTCTTCCAGTGAGTGAGTGAGTGAGTATGATTTTACGCTGCTTTTAGCAATATTCCAGCAACATCATGGTGGGGGACACCAGAAATGGGCTTCACACACATATTTGTTTCAGGGTCTATATGACAGACTAAGATGACATATAATCTTTAACATGCCTGTAACCCCTTCCCACCCCCTTCCACCTCACACTCACATTCACACAGAAACAGCCACACGGAGACACATGCATAAAATTTACACTGTCACACTTACTCACTCATTCACACACTCATTGACATATGCTCTCACACACACGTCAGACAGACTCCCACTCACACACTCACACACATTCATAAACTCTTACGCTCTATCTCACAAACACATATCAGACATCCAGTCACTCTCTCACACATACTGACACACTGACACAGACACACACTTATATCAGACACACACACTTACATCAAACACAGACACTCACTGACACACACACACTGGTCCATACATTCTCTCACACACGCACACTCACAGTGAGTGAGTGGGTATGGCATTACACCGCTTTTAGCAATATTCCAGCAATATCACTGCAGGGGACACCAGAAATGGGCCTCACACATTGTACGCATGTAGGGGAATCGAACCCAGATCTTCAATGTGACAAGCGAACAGGCTACCCCACCACCCCTCACACACTCTCATCAAACAGACACACACACATGCTCCACAGAGCTACATTTAGAGACATGATTATGATTACATTACAGTTACGACCATCAAAGCTGCAGGCATATTGACTTTCCATTCTCTCCAACCATATAACCACAAGTAAACAAGCAGCCAGGGCTGTGTTTACCTTATTATCTCCCCTGAATACACAACCCTGGCCACAGCCAGCTGCTAGGGTTCAAGGGTCATCCAGGTAGAGAGACGTGAGCTGTGTCTGTAACGACTCTGCTACACCAAGAACCCCCATCACCATCTCCTTCCTGAAAACACTCCCAGGCTGCATTTCCTTCAATAATATTATTGTAGCACTATTGATAAACTGAATTTTGAAATGACTGACTGACTGAGTTTGGTTTTACGCCACTTTTAGCAATATTCCAGCAACATCACGGCGGGAGACACCAGAAATGGGCTTCACACATTGTACCCATGTGGGGATTCGACCCCGGGTCTTCGGCGTGACGAGCCAACGCTTTAACCATTAGGCTAGCCCACCGCCCCTTTGAAATGAATTGCAAGGATTAACAACACCAAACTATGATTGGACACTTCTTAATGCAGCATGTTACCATGTTTTCTGTCATTGTTCCAGTTCCAGACAGAATGTCTTCATAAAAATATTTTTCAAATTAAAATGAGTGAGTGAGTGAGTGAGGTGGGTTTTACTCCGCTTTTAGCAATATTCCAGCAATATCCCGGCTGGGGAGAGACTCACCAGAAAAGGGCTTCAAATTAGAGTTTCATCAGACATATAATATTTTTAATAAAACACAGCATATTTTTTCCTCACAAAGTGAATGGTTGGTTCATCTGTACCACAAGGCCATGATTTTTGTCTTGCATAAATTTGTAAAAAACAATTTCTTTGGTGTCCTAAAGGTTATTGTTTCCATCAAGTATTGAGATGGACCTTAAATGACCCTATCTCCATGGTAACATAATACATTGTATATCAAAGACATCAGTGTTCACTAATCAGCAATGGCAACAATTATGACTTGTGTACTCTCTTTTATAACGTTTACATGTTTACATTATGGAAGAGTTAATATTAATCAGTATTATTTTGATGATTTGTTATTTCAGTAAATTTACAATCCAAAAGTACCAGAAGATGAAGAATGTTTTGTGTCACTTTTATTTCTTCACATGATGAAATTAGATGATGTGTTTCAAGACTAACATTGATTGGTTGGTTTGTTGTTTAACGCCACACTCAGCAATATTCCAGCTACATGGTGATGGTCTTTAAATAATTGAGTCTGGACCAGGCAATCCAGTGATCGACAGCATGCACATCAATCTACCATACAATGACATGTGTCAACCAAGTCAGTAAGCCTGACCACCCAGTCCTGTTAGCTGCTTACGACAAGCATGGATTACTGAAGATCAATTCTAACCCCGATCTTCGCAGGTCTCAGGACTAACAAGCACAGCACTCACATACATGCAAGTAGACTGTAAAATAAAGTCAACATCACATGACGATAACACACTATCAGCGAGGTCACACAACAGCATGACCAATGAACTGAAGGGGGTTTGAGGTTGTGTTCAGGAGAAATTCACTCAAGTACTGACGTCTATGCACATCCATGTCTAGTGTGTTGAATTACTTGCGCTTGTATTATTACCCACTAAGATGCCAAGCTGCAGTTTAACGTTGAAACCCCTCTCAGAGTGAGTGAGTATGGATTATGTGGCTTTTGGCAATATTCCAGCACTATCACAGCCAGGAACACCAGAAATGGGCTTCATATATTGTACCCATGTGGGGAATCAAACCCGGATCTTCAGCGTGATGAGCGAATCCACCATTTATAGGAGAGTTAGGCACTGATATCTGATTAGCAAGTTTGTCAGAAGCACTATCACAGCCAGGAACACCAGAAATGGGCTTCATATATTGTACCCATGTGGGGAATCAAACCCGGATCTTCAGCGTGATGAGCGAATCCATCATTTATAGGAGAGTTAGGCACTGATATCGGATTGCCAAGTTTTCAGAAGCGACAAGCAGATGCTTTAAGCATTAGGCCTCCCCACCTTTCTCAGAATCTACACTAATTCCATTGCGTGTTTTATGCCCTAAGACCAGGCTGGGTAACAATAAGAAGCATATTTGGCTTGAGGCAGCCAGATTTGAACACCAACCTTTCTCTCTCAGGGCAGACACTCTTTCCAGCACGCCATGGTCTGCAAAACTGAACAATTTCTTGAGTCTTGGGTTGGTTGGTTAGTCTAGGGTTATTGCACACGGACAACCTGGTTTGATTTCTGTTACTAAAGGTGTGGTTGGTTTCTGCCTACCATGGTTAATGACGACTGACTGACTGAGTTTACGGACAACCTGGTTTGATTCCCTTCATGGCTACAATGTGTGAAGCCCATTTCTGTGCCCCCACCATGATGTTGATGAAAACCTAAAGCTGCATAAAACCATACTCACTGAATCTGTAAGTGGTTACTGTGTTTGTTCTGAAAGTAGAAGAGTAAACAGTCAGTGATTTGCTTCACAGCGGCATTTCTGTCATTCTGTAAATGACTTGTGTAATGGTAATCTCCCAGCCATATTTCAAGATTACTTGACACAGTCTCCTGATTGTCTTCATGTCTAGATTACTGCACTCAAGACGGAATTCTACCATGGCGATAAATAACAATAGCCACTGTTCCTATTTCATGTCTCGTGTCCAGCGTTCGCAAGATAAGTCATAGTCTATGTTTCCAAAACCCTGTCCACTTAAAGGTCAAGTGCAGCCTAACTATGGCCTGGTGTTGCGTAACATCACACATCCTGAATGACTTGATAAACCTCTGAAACTTGAGTCTGTGAGAAGGATATGGTAAATAACAGCTGTTAAGCACTTAAAAGAAAATATGTTTATATTGACACGATTCTTGTGGTGAGTAAGTGTGAATTTTGTTTGAGACAAATATGTTTTAGCACTTCTAGATAAATAGCGTGTGGATAGCTCTGTCATTAAAATTGTAGCAATTCACTGTACAGAGTTGTGTCCCTTTGGAACAGCAGTAGCCTATAATCATGGGTTCGAATCTCTAGCTTTGTCAGTCAGCACTATACCTATGATTGTTGGTTTCACAAAAGTGCTCAAGATTTAAAGGGCCACTGATCCAGAGCAATTTCCGTGGAATGGTTGTTGCTTTTGTTATTGTTTTTTCTCCCATGAGTAACCAAATGATATCCCAGAATTCATGACTGGTTCGTTACCTCTGCTGCACCACCCTCATGCGCAATTGATAGTATAAGTATAGACTGATCAAGAAAGTACTCGATATTCTTGATTTTATTGTAAAATTATGCAGACTTTGATGAATAATTTGGTTTTTATAGAAAATTATTCACTTTGATAAAAATGCTGATTTTGATGTAAAATTTTGATTTCATAGTCATGTTAACTTTATTCACGCATGCTTCACTATTGTCTTTCTTCCCACAACATGCTGACACGCCGTGATGAAACTGGAATACTTGCATCAGTACATTTACTGAAAGGAGACGGCAAACTAGGCATCATTTCAGATTGTCTAATAAACCAAGTCAAGGCAAATCTGTTATTCTAACCTGACCATGACCAACAGTTATTGATAGACCAAAGGGAGACAGTTTTGCAAAATGGTGTACTGGATTAAGTGTCTTCCCAGAGGGTGGAAGGGCAGTGGTTCAATCTCTGCTGGTTACTCTGCTGCATCACAGAGTAAGGATGGTTCATGTTGTTAACCTGCCTGGTACAATCAGTATGTAATACTCTAAGTGGAGTATCTGTGTTAAAACAGTAGTATGGTATATCCCATGGTTATGTACAATGCATTTCGTTAGGATGAGAAGGCCACAATATCTCGGTGCGCCTAATGGCTGCAAGAGTTGTATACTCCCCAGGGAGTTGAGATTGATAATACGATGTGCCATTGAGACTGACATCCAATGATCGAGGGGAAAAATACCAGCGCCTTGAGCATGCACTAGTTGCCTGGATATGTGCACTATATAAATATGCTATAATAGTAATAATAATAATTTCAGTGAACATTATGGTGCCCAACTTTTGGTTCATAGGTATTGGATACCTTCAGGTCAGTGAAGAACAATATTGCTATTCATTACTTTCCAGTTTAAAAAATCATTTAATTACCATTAGACTAAATTTGACTAAGTATTCAGTTGTTTTGGAATTATAATCCTGAAATAAATCTTCCCTCATTTAAAAAAAATGCCAACTGGTTATGATATAAGTGAGTGAGTTGGGTTTTACACCGCTATTAGCAATATTCCAGCAATATCACGGCGGAGGACACCAGAAATGGGCTTCACACATTGTACCCATGTGGGGAAACGAACCCGGGTCTTCGGTGTGACGAGCGAACACTTTAACCACTAGGCTACCCCACCGCCCCTATGATATAAGTGAAATGTGAAATATACAAATTTCAAATCATCTAAAGGTACTAGTTCAGAATTAGATTGTTTTCTATAAAGTATTTCATCCAGAAATATTCAAAATTCCAAATGATTAAATGGCACCATTTTCACTAGACAGATCTGTTTAGCAAGCTTCATCAAGAAATATTCAACACTTTTGGAGTTCTGCTCCAGAAATGAGTATTTTCAGTAGAACTCCAACAGGTCATCATCAAGACAAAATGAACTAAAAGCAAAATAAATCCCACATTGTCAATAGACACTTGTTCACTACTAGACAGATCTGTATAGCAATGTTTCATCAAGGTACTTACAGCGTTTTTGGAGTTCTGCTTTGAAAGTGAAAACAGAGAGCAGACGGACAGACATGCTGATCAATGTACAAATCGATCCCTTCCATAGTAATAACATACATTCCCCACAGTACATGCATATAAGAAATTTGTAAAACCATTATCCCAACAACTACTTCAATCAATGTGAATGGTGTCCAAGATTGGTATTGAATGACTCAAGTCAATGTCAGACAATGTCAGTATTAGGATTCAATATGATATCGCTGAAGTTGGTGAAGTTGCCGTACACGAGACAGCTGCCATGTCTCAAGCAGATGCAGCACCATTCACCTCACACAGCACGTTCAGTATTGTTAGTGCATGACATGAAACAGATCCTTATTCTCTTTATCTTACCTGATAGTGAATCAAACTCACTTCATGATTGATCTGCATGTAGTGGTTTGTACTTGGTGTTTTCTGATTTGACGTAATTTTGTGCTGAGTTTTGTAATTGTGTATAACAGCATTGATATTTTTTCACAGTTTTCACTTACATGAACAGATACATGGGAGAGAATTTTGAGTGAAAGTATCTTGAAATGCTTGGTAATTTTTTCTCCTCATAGGTGTGAGTGAGTTAGTGAGTGAGTTTAGTTTTACACACTTTTAGCAATATTCCAGCAATATCACGGCGGTGGACACCAGAAATGGGCTTCACACATTATACCCATGTGGGGAATCGAACCCGAGTCTTCAGCGTTATGAGCAGAGGCTTTAACCACTAGGCTACCCCCAACTCCAACCCAAACCCCACCCCACCCCATGGGTGTGAAAATGTTAAATATTATGTACATGTTGCACAACATGATTGGGGATTTCCTGCATGACTATTGTCTAAATCTGTTCATGTTAATGTTATGGTAAAATGGCCGTCATCAGAGGCTGTACTAGGAAGTTGTGTCTGCCTGTGTCTGCCTGTGTATCACTGCATTCTTTCATAGGATACGAAAATGAAAGGTCAGGTTTGTCCTGGTAAATTCAAATATGAGATAAATGACACTTGATACAAAAAATATACACCAGATTCACATCTACTGTACACAAACTATACACCAATTATACACTAGATTCACACCCACCATACACCAATTATACACCAGATTCACACCAACCATACACAAACTATACACTAGATTCACACCAACCATACACCAACCATACACCAATTATACACCAGATTCACATCCACCATACACAAACTATACACCAATTATACACCAGATTCACACCAACCATACACAAACTATACACAAATTATACACTAGATTCACATCCACCATACACAAACTATACACCAATTATACACCAGATTTACTGTATGCAAAGTTACAATAATTTTGATTTGCATACATGACTGTATAAGAACTAAATACAGTGTCTCACTCAGGGCAGGTGCAAGAGTCCGTATCAGTGTTCTGTTGTACAAGGTGATATTAGCACCAAGGTGATCGTAAGTCCCATACCATAACATAGACTTACGACTGGCGTAGCACCAAGGTGATCGTAACTCCCATACCATAACACAGACTTACGACTGGGTAAGCTCTAAGGTTACTTTGTACAATGGCACCCTGGACGCTCATACAGTGTCTGTGTTGTGACAAACACTGGCTATTTCTATACGTGGCATTAAACTACCATGGTTGTCCATTAGTGCTGCTACAGGTCAGCATGAACTAGACTTCTTGAGCTGCAGCTGACAGTGTGTATTGTTGTGTTAAGTGCCACTGGAGAGGGCTGCACAGTAAGAATGTAGGTGGCACTGCCGGCTGATACAGTGAAATTGGCAACTACTGCCCAGTGATTGGGGTCAGAATTGGCATGGCATTAGAACTGCCTGGAGATGTATGCTGCAGTGTTATCACATGGGGAGCAGGCTCCATTGAAGCTTAAGGTCATCAGTTACTGGTGATCAGTTTGGAACAATTTGCTGGAATTTGTTTGAATTTAGTACTGACGTGCATTTATCAAGCTTTGACACAAAGCTTTCATACTGTTTTTTCCTTTTTTAGGACCAACAGTGTTGTATTGTGACCTTCAGTGTTGCATTGTGACCATCAGTATTGTATTGTGGCCTTTAGTGTTGTATTGTGGCCTTCAGTGTTGTATTGTGGCCTTTAGTGTTGGATTGTGACCCTCAGTGTTGTATTGTGACCATCAGTGTTGTATTGTGGCCTTTAGTGTTGTATCGTGACCTTTAGTGTTGGATTGTGACCTTTAGTGTTGTATTGTGACCTTCAGTGTTGTATTGTGACCTTCAGTGTTGTATTGTGACCTTCAGTGTAGCATTGTGACAATCAGTGTTGTATTGTGACCTTCAGTGTTGTATTGTGACCTTTAGTGTTGTATTGTGACCTTCAGTGTTGTATTGTGGCCTTTAGTGTTGGATTGTGGCCTTCAGTGTTGTATTGTGGCCATCAGTGTTGCATTGTGACCATCAGTGTTGTATTGTGACCTTCAGTGTTATATTGTGACCATCAGTGTTGTATTGTGGCCTTCAGTGTTGTATAATGACCTTCAGTGTTGTATTGTGGCCTTCAGTGTTGTATTGTGACCTTTAGTGTTGGATTGTGACCTTTAGTGATGGATTGTGACCTTTAGTGTTCTATTGTGACCTTTAGTGTTGTATTGTGACCTTTAGTGTTGTATTGTGACATTTAGTGTTGGATTGTGACATTTAGTGTTGTATTGTGACATTTAGTGTTGTATTGTGACCTTTAGTGTTGGATTGTGACCTTTAGTGTTGTATTGTGACCTTTAGTGTTGTATTTTGACCTTTAGTGTTGGATTGTGACCCTCAGAGTTGTATTGTGACCTTTAGTGTTGTTTTGTGACCATCTGTGTTGAATTGTGACCCTCAGTGTTGTATTGTGGCCTTCAGT